GAGACATGGAGCCGTGCTGCAGCTGGGCTCAGGTCCTCATTGTGGGGAGAGGCAGACAGAATGGCCATGTGCTTTAAAGATTTAAGCAGTTTGGCTCAGCAGGAGGCTGGAATCAGGACAGCCCTCAGAGAACAGTGAGTGCAGCCTCCCACCCCTGCTGCTTGGTCAGCTCCTTAAAGAGCTGTAGGCAGTGAGCCCTACCTCCCAGCATGGCCTGGAGCTCTGTGTGCCTTTGCCTGGTCTCAGTGTTTGGGACCTGGTGCAGGGAGAGGAGACTCCATGCACCCACCATATCTCTCTCCCTCTTACCGGGGCCATTCTTGCTCTTTCTGGATCAGCCTGACACTGCTGACTGCAGGCAGGGGCTGCTCCGACTTGTGCTTTTCCCACAGGGAGAGCGCCTGAGCCGCTTTGGCTTCCGTACAGAGACGACAGGGAGCGTCACGTTCCGACTCCACTGCCTGCAGCAGTCCAAGTAAGTGATGCCCCCCTTCAAGCTCATGCGTCAGTGGCCCCTGCCCAACCCTGACCTGACATGTGCGTCTGTGCAGAGCCTTCCTGGACTCCAGTGCCCTGAGGAAGCGCATGCAGAGTGTGCTGGACCGGCTCGGAGGCTTCAGCCAGCAGAGCTCCCTCTTCAGTGTCCTGGGTAAGGCTCCTTCTTGTCAGTCTCGGGCATGTGGACACTCCATGGCTCAGTTTGCTCCCTGCCTTGGACTAGCAAAACAGCAAATTGTCTATGCAGCACCGGGGTCCTGACCTGATTAACTCTCATGGACTGTACTCTGGGACCCAGCATGGCTAGCTGATCTGACACCAGCTCCCAAGAGGTAGCTTGCTGCTCCCTGACATATGCTGATAAAATCAAAGCAGATAGAATCCCAGGGCTGAGATTGGCTGTTCTCAACAAAGCCCAGTTGGAGCTGGTTCTGCTTTGAGCAGGGATTGGACTAAATGACCTCTTCAGATCTCTTCTGATTCTAGACTCAATGTCCTCTGTATGTTCCCAATCTTGGCGCTTGTGCCAAAGGTGCAGCAAGACATCAGCACTTTCTGGTACCAGTGCTCATTAGGGTGTCCTCATGCTCAAGCATGCTCTGCGAGTATGGGTATGAAAGGGAAGTGACACCTGTTCCCACCTCTGTTCCAACCACAGCAGCAAAAGGACATGAATCTCTTTGGGTCTCCTAGATCCGCAGATTGTAAGTGCTTATAATTAGATAGTCTATACAGGATACATTTGAAAACCAGCAAATGGTCTGGTAGCACTTTATAGACCAACAAAACACGTAGACGGTATCATGAGCTTTCGTGGGCACAGCCTACTTCTTCTGATGACGAGCTTTTAGATATAGGTAGATAATTAGATAGTTGCTAAGCTAGTAGTGTTGGTTTTTATCAGTAGTTTTAGTTTTTTAATAAATTATATTACAGTTTAGGTTAGTTAGATAAGAACATCTTTATGAATTTTCAGTATGGTGGAGCCTGGCATCAAGAAGCGTGGATTCAAATTCTGTGTATCTTCCCAGTGCTCTTCCTGATGCACATGTTCTTTGTCAAAACTGCTGAGGGAAGAATAATTCCCCAGCATGTTGTGCTGCCTGTAGCACATTTAACCTTTGGGCCTGCAAAGAGAAACAAAACAGACTTCAGGCTCTTCTATTACAAGAAGCCTTGTGAGTTAAGCCTCTTGGATCTGATAGTTCTAAAGGATCCAAAAATAAGGATGGGAGACTGGAATTGGCTCTGAATACATCCTAATGTAAGAAAACAGGAATTGCAAAGTCCTTGGCCTTGATGCTGACCCTCAGTTGCAGTCTCACTGACCTTATTGGACCACATTCCTCAGATTTGGCTCCAAAACTTCTAAGACCTCCCTTGGAACCTCTATCAGACAGACATCCTAAGTATTCAGATGACTTACTGGAACCTATTACTTCACTCCTCAGGAAAAAGAGACTCAATTAAAGCATGTGGCCTATAGGTCTTCAAACCATTCACACATGGATCTGAGACCTAGCAACATTAGACCTCTGGATTGTAGTACTTAAATTCAAGTACTTAAATCCAATCCAAGTACTTAAATTCACCAGCATAGAATCAGAGTCGTATCAGATACACTCAGATGTGTCTCTTCTCTCAAATCCAGCTATATCCATAGAACCAGAGGGTTAGAAGAGACCACAAGGGTCATCTAATCTAATTCCCAGCCAAGAAGCAGGATTGTTATGTCTCAGCCATCCAAGACAGATGGCTTTCCATATTGCATTGCTCTCCCAAGAAAAGGTGAAACGGGATCCTGAGTGAGGAAGCTCCCCAATAAGCAGGTTTGTTTATTTCATGTGTGTGTAACTGCAAGAGTAAGGCCATTTCATCCAGCACCTATCTAAATGGATAGTCATCGTGTTGAAGAGCATTGAGAGGGTCTCTCTCCTATGCCTGATCCACTTAGTGTTTGTTCTAGAGCTGTGGCTGCATCTACAGCATTTTGCTAATCATGTTTCTTTTATTGAGCTACATGGAGGACTTTCACAACACATTATACATTGAGTTTTGTTCCCAGCTCTGATGCTCATTAGAGTGACACTCCAGTTTCTGTTTTTAATTATGACTCCACATCCCTACTATACTGCTTACCAAACTATCCCAAGAGTGGGAATATACAGAGGAAACTTGAAGAAGAAAGGAAGGTTGGTCTGGATGGGTTCTGTGTATTCACATTCCCCACTCACCTTTCCTACTACTGCAGAGTCCAGACTTCAGTGTCTGGATATTCTGCTTCAGCAGTGGAAGGAACAGAGGTGGGAACGAGCGCGTTGACCCTTTTATACCCATTTGCTCGGAAGCACAGCTGTGGGAAAGAACTGTGGGCACTCTAACAGGCACTGCTACCAAGTCTGCTGTCATGCTGTGCTGTTGGGCACAAATTCCAAGAGTGCGAATATACTGAGTCCACCTTGAAGAATTCCAGTTACAATTCACCGATCAGCGTTTATATCATGCAGGCTGGCAGTGGGGTGCTGCAGTGCAGCACCACAATTGTGCGGGAAGGAAGGTGGAGAGAGCAGCCCAGATTTCATGCTTCATGTCCTAGCCAGCCAGAGAGAATGCAGTGTTAGCCAGTTCCCCGACAAACTGCCGGAGCAGTGCAGTGAGTATGAGCCCACTCTTCAATGCTCTGTTACAGAGGCATTCCAGAGGGCGCGACGCCGCATGCAGGAAGCACGTGAGAGCCTCCCCCAGGACCTGATCAGCACCTCGGCCTCCACTGTGCAGCAGCCATGAGCAGGGAGCTCCCAGCAGCTCCACTGGCACCAGGTCTGGCTGAGTGCAGCAGCCTCTCTCTTCTAATAGCACTTCATGCAGCAAGTCTCAGCTCCAGCTGCTCCCGGCTCTGCAGGTGCCTCCATTGCCCAGTTCCTGGCCCCTTGTGTCCCTGCTTGCCCCAGTAGAGGGGACGGTGTCAGGTCCAGGCAGAGCCACTCCCCGACAGAGAGCTGGGCATGCCCAGCACTGTCTGGGTCCCTGCATGGCAGGGTAATGAGTTGCCAGGCTGGCCCTGGGCTGATGGCCGAGCACTCCATACATGATTGGTATAAGGTAAAGCTCTGGCTTTCACTTTGCCCATGGGAGGGATTCAGAGGGCCTCCCAAAGCTGGGAGGTATGGTCAGGTAGCACCTTGTTTCTTCTAATGTAGTGCCCAAGTGAAGTTTCACATACCACCCTAGATAAGCATAAGCAAGTCCCTCCCCTGCTCTCCCAGCAGGGCCCAGAGTTTGGCACCAGCAGTCCCATTCAGTGGCACAAAGCTAGAGACCCAGGTCCATGAGTGCTGGCAAACAGTAAGCCCAGCCAAGGTGAGAGCATGCATGCACCATGCTGACGGGCTATGGCATCCATGCACTGTCACATCCTACCGTCCTGCCTGCTGCACGCTTACAAGAGAAATGGACATTTGATCAATTTGCCAGGAAATAATTCTACCTCAAATGGCTCTGACAACACTTCCAGAACCCTTTTTCCTGACCACATGGCAGTTCTCTTCACCAGAGCAGCTCCCACTGCTGGACAGAGCAAGAGATCTGTTGCCAAAGCCTAAAAGCCATGGACAATCATTCTGTCACCTCTGTGGGAAGGGTGTAAAACCACCTGAGAGACATGGATGTTGGAACACTTGTTATTTCTATAGTAATTATTGTAAGTGACAAATCTCTGGCTATATTAGTAACTGACAGAGTTCTCTTTCTGTGAGAAGGGGGATGTTGTCAGAGGTCATGGTATGGCGCCATTGCAGAAGTTCTGTGTAACTGAATGAGTAAGCAGGTAGGTCCCTGAGACAGGCTAGATGAAGCAGTGATATAGTTCTTTGTAGAGTCCAGGTCTTTTGTCACTAAAATTGATTGTCTCCACCTGAGGCTTATGACTGGATCATTTTTCTGGTGAAGTTCTACTGCCTACACGCACCCCAAACTAAAACACAGCAGAGTCAGAACCATGATAGCAATGGGTTCAGGGCCCATATGTTCTAGCCTCTGACTTTGAAGCTCCCTTATGTGTCAGGTCTCCCTGTCCTGCACCCTGTGAAGTTGTTCAAAAGAGCGACCAGACTTGGTCAAATTAAAGGTCCATCCAGCCCAGCATCCTGTCTGCCCCAGTGGGAATGAACTGATCATGCGATCTCTCTCCTGCCAGCCATCTCTACCCTCTGACAAACAGAGGCTGGGGACACCGTTCCTTACCCATCTTGGCTATAGCCATGAATGGAATTAACCTCCATGAATCTATCCAGTTCTCTTAAACCCTGCTATAGTCCTAGCCTTCACAACCTCCTCAGTTAAGGAGTTCCACAGGTTGACACTGCGCTGTGTGAAGAAAACTTTAATTTTTTTTAAACCTGCTGCCCATTAATTTCACTTGGTGGCCCCTAGTCCTTATATTATGGGGAAAAAGTAAATAACGTTTTCTTATTCACTTTCTCCACACGACTCATGATTTTATAGACCTCTATCATATCCCCCCCATAGTCTCCTCTCTTCCAAGATGAAAAGTCCCAGTCTCTTTAATCTCTCCTCATATGGGACCCGTTCCAAACCCCTCATCATATTAGTTGCCCTTCTCTGAAAACATGCAGAAAGAACCTTTGGAGTGGGTTGTAAATGCAGAACTCCCTATTCTTCTTTGCTCTCTTGGCAAACCTCCCAGGCGGAGAGCTCTGCTGTGAACAAAGGGAGAATGTGGCTGTGTGTTATCTGTTTATTGTTCTATCTCTTATTGTTACATGCAGTGTCACTATGAGGGACTAGATGGGCGCTTTGTGGCCCCCTGCTTTAAGTCCTGTTACATTCAAGACAGTTACTAGAGAAATCACTGGAGGGACAGGAATAGACCTTTGGTTTGTCAGCTCTAAGAGCCCCATGCCCTTAACAACAGTTTCCAGGAAGTTCCTGTGCTAGAGGCACTTGACTACAGGGTCCCATATGTCTGTGAGTGGTGCTCCAGTGTGTGCGTGCTCAGCCACACACCGTGTCATGGCCTCTGCTAGGAAGCCAGCTCCACAAGGAGCCAGAGGAAGCTTTTGATTCCGCCGTCTGGGCCTGTGTCACTAGACAGCACTACCATTCCAGCCCCAGGGTTTGGAGCTTGGCTCTGGCTAGTTGCCTAAAGGCTGATGTCCTCTTGGCTTTAGGTCTTTGGAAATATATTCCTGGAGGGACAGAGAGTCCTCCAAACAGCAATGCTGGCCATTTACAACTCCATTTACAATGCTGGGGGAGTCCTCTTGTCACCATAGCCCTTGGGCAACCTGCACCCCAAACCTTTCCCAGCCTCACCCTGGAGCCCATACTCCAGGCAGAGCCTTCACCCATCTTGAGCCTGTCATCCCTTGCCCCTCCCCAGAGTACTTACCCCACTGCTGCACCCCAGTCCTCTGGCACAGCCCTAAGCCCCCTCCCACACTCCAGAACCCCTTTGTCCCACCCTGACCACATGAATTTTGTTATGGGCACCAGGATAAAGGTGTGTGTCACATCACCTCCCTATTGGTGCATGTAACAAAATTCATTCTGCACAAGGCTGGGAAAATTTAGAGGGGATACTTCCCTGTACCCTCATGGCCGACATTTTTAGATGGTCACAATCTATTTTGTACACCCAATGCCTTGTGAGATAGCATCTGAAAACTCAGTCTCTTGAACATCGTTGTCATATTTAAATGTGTAGCAACATCGTATATGGAGTTCTGAGCTTTGTTATGTTTGTTACTGAGATGTACTGTAACTGAGAAAGGGCTGGAAAACTAACTTATTGAAGCAGTCATTCACCGAGTGGGGGGGAGCTGCAAATAAAGATGTTGCATGGCACCCCTAAAATGTCTCAAACATCACACACACACAGAAGGCATGAACAAGAAATTCATAATGTACTCGAAAGCAGCTTTGAATCGGAGACACGGGACTGCTTTGGCTATTCCTACAATGACCGTATTTTCTGAACTAAAAATTAGGATGCATGATCTGACACAAGATATTTTTCTGATTTGTGAGTGAGCTGGGGGTGCAGGGTCTTGGCAGTCCTCGAAATATTGGAATTTCTGAAACTTTTTGATGGTTTATGGGGGCAGCGGGACAGAATATTTGAAATCGAGTGTGTCCTGGACAATCTGGTACGTATGGTCGGTGTACTTATGATTGTTTTTTCAGGGACAGCTCCCTAGCACAGCTGCAGGCACACATTAGTGCCAGTGCTCCTGCCAGCAGTCTCACCCTATATCTCTGTCACCTGTGACTATGCCTCATCCTGGCCCTGCAGATGAGAGCCATCCTCCAGGTCATTAGATAAAGCTTGGCCTCTGAATTTAATCTCCCTGTAGCTCATTGTGTTAATGGGAAGGTCAGCTCTCTACCACCCTGGTCTCCAGCATTACTCTGTTGCCTGCAGCTCTTGAAGTCTGGAACAGGCCCTTTGCGTGACATGCTGTTTGCAGTCTGAGATAGGGCTGAGTCATGGGGTTTGGACCTGGATTTACCTCTGTTGCCGTGATTGCCCTCTCTTCATGCTCCTTTCCTTGCAAATGGGTCCCCTCCTTCCCAGCACAGAATTCTTCCTCCCAGATCTCTGTTGGATTCACCCCAGATATGCCTTTAGATATGCCTCGCCTCTAGGCTGTTTGTGACTGTGCTCATCACTTCCAGGAGGATCTGATATGGAGCCTTCCCATGGGAGTGCTGTGGGAGTAAATTGTCCAGTAAACTTGTCTGGACACTTTGGAAACAACCCTGGCTTCAGGCAGGAGGGACGAGCCAAGAGTGTGACCGGCTGCTGCTGCTGCTCCCTCTTGCCCTTCTCTCTCCCATGCCCATGTGTCCCTCGCAGGGAGTGAACAGCACTCAGGTATGGCTGTCCTGCCAGGTGTGCAGCTGGAGACTGAGGGCTTGATCCTATTCTTAATTGCACAGATAAATTCAGAGCAATAAGTCTGATTCTGACCTTATCACTGTGCAGCTCCATTGGCTTCAGTACAGTTACCCTGATTTACGCCAGGCTGAGTGAAAGCAGGAGCTGCATTTACAGTGGAATGAGAGAGGACCACCAGTACAATCATTATGGACCAACGTGACTAGAACCTTCTCCCAATTCCAGCACCCTCACCCCACATTCATAGTGCTCTGCAGTGGTAATGCTGTGCAGTGAGGTGTGTACACATCAGGTGGATGTCCACAGTTCAGGTTGTGAGTCCTCTGTGAGCCAGCATGCCCTGTAACCTAAAGCGGTGAAGTAGTTAGCAGCCCAGTTGGGCCATCTCTTGTGGAGTGCAATGGCTGTGCAGTCATGGGGTAGGGAATCCTGTACCTCTGAGGGCTTAGCTCTTAATACCTCCTGCTCTGAGGCTGTCTACACTACAGAGTTGTTCCGGGATACCAAAAGTACCCTGGAAAAACTCTGCCATGTCTAGGGAACGTGTCTTCTTTTTCAGACCAGTTTCTGAAAAAGCGGAATTTTATGAGCAATAAGGGCTCTTCTGAAAGAGGAGGTTTTTCCCATGTTTGGCCCCATGTAGACAGGCCAAATATCAGAAAAGCCTCTTCCAATAAAAGAATCGGAAAATGGTAATTTGCGTGCCTTTTTCCGAAAAAGACCTGCAGTGCAGACGGCCTGAGTCCCACTCTCCCAGCACCAGCACCTGCTCACTCACTGAATTCTTTGGACCTTATTCTCCGGCATTGACCCACTTTCACCTCAGCAGAAAGCTATTGATTTCTGTGGTGCCTCAGCAAGTCAGGACATAAGTGGAACTACCACCCAGGGCTACTGGCCCCCTGTCCTGGGCTGTTTGCTGGTGCCCATGTGCCTCCCGCTAATGAAGTCTCCAGCGCTGGCGTGAACGTGCCCTCATCGGCTCTGCAGAGAGCTACTGGCACGGGCTGGCGCCTTCTCCTTGGCCAGCGCAGAAGAGCGAACTGGCCGCCTCCTGCCAAGGGCTGGTCCCAGGAGGCTCTCAAAGGACGCCATCTCCTCAGGGGCGTAGCCCGTGTTCCTTCTTGCCCCGCCCCTTCCCCTCGTTCTTTCTTTGTGCCCCCAGCCCTCCAGGGCGTGTGCGCGGCCCCAGCACCACTGGGGCGGGGGAGGGTTTCTGCCCTCCCTACCCCAGGGCAGCCCTGCCAACTGCCATAACTGCCACTCTGGGAAGGTACCACCATCCCC